AGGAACAACTGCAGCTGCTCCAGCAGCAGCAACCGCAGCACGAATCAGCAGATACGGAGAGTGCTTCTGACGATACACTGCCAATGACACAAAGGCTTCAGGAGACTGAAGAGGGGGACACAAAGGAGGGGGAAAAGCTGCTTTCGCACGGGGCTTCTTCTGCTGCTGCTGCCCCAGCTGTTGTTGGTGTTGCTTTGCGTGCCTGTCCCCCTGCTACTGCAGCTGACGCCGACGCTCCTCCTTCGTTGCAGCACTCTCAGGGAAAACACGAGCAGCAGCAGCAGCAGACGCAACAGGTGCTGCAGCAAGAGCGGCAGCAAAATCAGGTACTGCAGGAAGAGCAACAGCAGCAAGAGCAGGTACTGCAGCAAAAGCAACAGCAGCAACAGCAGGCGCTGCAACACGAGCAGCAGCAGCGGGAAGGCCCTGTATGGAGGCGCAAACGCCGTTTTCCTTTGCGCTGATTGTTTCCTCTTTGTATTTGTTTAAATCCGCCCTGCTTTGTACAGTTTAATCGTTGTTTTGTTTGTTTAATTGTTGATTTTCTTGTTCGCTGCTTTGTCGGTTCGTCTTGACGCCGCTTCCAGCTAGTACACCTCATCACCCTTTTTTTTTGCCTCCTGCTGCTTCTCGCAGCATTCTGTCTGTTGCCGCGCTACATCACTCCCTTAAGCGCTGCAGCAGCAGCAGAGTAGCAGCCCGCACTCGGTAGAAACAGTTTCACAGACGCCTCTGGCTCCACCACTACTTCATCTTTAACCCGTCCCTCAAACTAGTCGTACACGTCTGGCTCCACAGACCACCTTCAGCCGCACGCAGACTTCACCCTGTGCATATACACTGACATTTTTTTCTTTTCCTTTCGTTTCTCAGTGCTCCATCAGTCACTTTCTCCTCCCTCCATGCACCCATACCTTCTGGGGAGCCTGGGCAAAATGAATGCGTGTGTTGCTCCGGGTGGAGGTGGGAGCCAGATGTAGGGCAATCTGTATGGAGTCGCTACGTGTCCTTCTGCGCGCATGCAGGCTCGTAATTCCGGGCCGTTTAGTTGTTTAACAACCGTAAACAGTGTTAATGCACGCAGGAAAGGGACCGTCGTTATGCTTGCATGTCTGGTTGCCTGTAGTACCCCCGGTGCTCTGCAGGGGACCCCCAGGTCGACTGGCGGGGTTCGACTCTTTCGTTGGCCGAAGTGTGTATATTCCCCCCAAGGAGTTCGGTTCCTGCTCACGTTACAATGGGAGGTGATTCCAACACACAGGTCGGAACAAACTATTATACCTATTTCTGCCAGTCTGCATACAGCTTGCGTCCCACTGAAAGGTATCATCAACCGTTCACACACATAATACGCCAAAGGGGTGAAGGGGCCGACATTCCCCTTGGGGAACACAATAAGTCCAAGACGATAGAGACGAAAATAGTCATACCGGAGAGCATGATAGAATCCGAGGAGGCTCGGTCTGCTCCTTGCGCCAGTGGTTTCAGGCCAGGGCTCCCTGGGCCTGAAACCGTTGGCGTGACTGACAGCACCAGTGCACA